CCTTAACACTCTTGTCAAATCACAGTTGCGCTTTCTAAAAAAACAGCCCCATTTTAAAATCTTTTAAGAGATAGGGATAGACAAGACAATTTAAATTTGAACAGATGGGAAAATGTCACTTCCTCAGTCTAGGTTCATTTTTTTCTTATGACACTCTCCCTGCCACTTTCTACACAAAAACTGAGGTATACACCAAAAAGTTTTTGTTTTTTGTTTTTTCAAATAGCCAGCCAGGTCTAGCGGCTGTAATCACACCTGTACTCAACACCACAAAAAATCCGTGATGCAGGAGGATTACCATCAGGCTAAGGCCAGCCTGAGCTACACAGTGAGTTCTGTGCCAACCTGGAATACACAAAGAGACCCAGTCTCGAAACACAAACAACTGCTAGTCTCTTTTTCACTGTAACCAAACCAAATGTGAAAACTTTTGTTTGTTTTGATAGTCTATACATGGCTGTCCTAAAACTAACTCTGTAGACCAGGCTGGCCTCAAACTCACAGAGATCCGCCTGCCTCTGCCTCCTAAGTGTTGGGATTAAGGATGTGTACCACTACCACCCCTAGTTCAAATGTAAGATTTAGGTTTTTGTTGTTTTGGTTTTTTTTGTTTGGTTTTTTAAGATGGTGTTTCTGTTTAACAGCCCTGGATGTCTTAACTCTAGACCAAGCTGACCTTAACCCACAGAAAGCCACCTTCCTCTGCTGGGAGTACTGGGATTAAAAGTGTGGACCACCACCAGAGGGGGGGCAGGTGGATCTCTGTGAGTTCGAGACTAGCCTGGTCTACAAGAGCTAGTTCCAGGACAGCCTCCTAAGCCACAGAGAAACCCTGTCTCGAAAAACAAACAAACAAACACAAGATTTATTTATTATGTATACAGTGTTCTACCTGTATGTATGCTTGCACTCCAGAAGAAGGCACCAGATCTCATTATAGATGATTGTGAGCCAACATGGGGTTTCATCTCTCCAGTCAGCCCTCTTTTAAATATCTTTTTTTTATGTGCATTGGTGTTTTGCTTGCATTTATCTCTGTGTGAGGCTGTCAGATCTTGGAGTTACCTACAGTTACTAGCTGCCACATATATGCTGGGAATGGAACCATGGTCCTCTGGAAGAGAAGTCAGTACTCTGGGCTGCTGAGCCATTATCTCTAGTCCCAAATGAATTTTTGTTTTGTTTTGGTTTGGTTTTGGTTTTTCGAGACAGGGTTTCTCTATGGCTTGGAGGCTGTCCTGGAACTAGCTCACAGAGATAGGCCTGCCTGTGCCTCCTGAGTGTTGGGATCAAAGGCGTGCACCACCATGGCCTGGCCCAAATGTAGGGTTTTAATAAAATATTTAAGTGTTTTTCACTAACTGTTACTCATTAAAGCACAAAACAAACAAACAAAACACCAAAAACCTCAAAGTCATAAAAGTAGCCACACATGTGAATTAAGATTCAAATGGGTAATTCTGAAAGATATTGTAAGACCATCAAAACCCATGGCATCAAAACCTAGACAACTGGAATAAAGTCACTCTGAATTCAGTAATGGGACTCCCAATCTTCCCTTCTTTTATAAAACATTCTCCTTCTGAGAAACCAGCAGAGTAAAATTCTATCTAATTTGTGTCATGGTTAAGAAATTCACAATGCTTTCAAGGAACACCCAGATTAAGAAACGATGGTATCTACATTTGTAAAATACATTTCTAAGTGGAAACTAAAATGGAGGGAATGAATTTGTTTCCTACAAATCCTAAAGAAAACAAACAGAACCATTTTTTCACTTAAAAACAAGCAGGCTAACATCCTTTTTACTATGAAAGTTATAAATTGTTTCTGTTACAATTTTTTTTTTTTTTTTTGCTGTTTTGTCTTGTTTTCCCAAGACAGGGTTTCTCTGTATAGCCATGGCTATCCTTGAAGCTAGTTTTGAACTCAGAGATCCGCCTGCCTCTGCCTCCCAACTAAAGGTGTGTGCCACCACACTGGAATTACACAGGAGTGCTTTAAAAGCCCAGGCTGCTGTCTTTCAACTTTCTTCCTTATGTTTCAGCCCCTAACTCCAAACTGTGCTATTTGCTTTCTGATTAAATGCAGACTTATTTCTGAAGGTGGCTCTAACATGTTTTGAAAAGATTTAGTGACCCGATTATTCAAGGTTTCTACAGTTCATTTTAAATAAGTTGAAAATATTTCCTATTCTGTACAAAACAACCCTTCACAGATTTTAAGGTGCTGAGTCCAGAAGATTAAACTTATAAAGTAGAATCAAACTGGAACACTCTCTTTTAGAATTCTTCACTCCGGGAAAAGAGACCTAGTTTTCATTTTAATCATTAGAAATTTAGTAGAAAGTATTAACCCACTTCATTTTAAATCAATTTAAAGGAAAGAGCTACTATCAATCAACCTGCCTAAAGAAATCAAACTTGGAATCACATATTTCATATGCTGTTAACAGCAACATTTTATTTTTGACACCAGTTGCCTGTAAATATGCAAGGTTTAAGATATACTCTCCAAGAAAAGGTCTCAAGGGTAGGTGCATGAAAGTTTCATTCTCTGGGAAAAGCAAAAATCATTTCCCTCCTTCCATGCATCGATTTCTCTTAGAAGAAAACACATCTAAACACAAATGCTGCACCACTGTTTTTAATGTTTTGGGTCCTTCTCCTTTGTACCAATATATATCCAGTGAATGGATGTAAATTCTCAAAGACCAAAATTACCAACCGAATTCCCAGCACTGGCTAAGAGATGTGGAAGGTAAGTGAAATTTAATGTCTCTCATATTTAAAATTCAAATTTGCTGTTCTCAGCTTAAGTATGATGCTAGGACTGAGTATTTAAAAGTACAAATCATATTTATCAAATATATTCAAAAGGACAACTGTAATTCTTTAAAATCATAATTCATTTGCAACTGAGTTTATCAAGAGTCCAATTTTAAACACTAAAAACACAATACATACAGAAAAAAATCCACCTTTACAGGTTAGAATTTAGTTACTTAGAATTTAGTCCTGACTAAATTCTCTTCTGTGTTTCAAGAGATTGAAAATGCCAGTAACAAACTCAACTGAAGGAGTTATGTTCAAACACAAACTCAAGGAACACAAAACTGACTTAATGAAAACAAACTTTTTTTTTAAACCCCAAGACTTCAAAAATTGGTGCATGGTAGAAATAGTCTCTTCTCACACCACTACCCAGGAAGGGGAGAAAAAAAGACAACTGATTCAATTCCTGGTTCAAAAACTATTTCAGTAAAGGAGAGAACACACAAAAGATCGAATTTAATATGGACATGAAAAGTGAAAATTTTAAGAATCGTCTTCTCCCAGACCTCCTTTCTATTCCAACTCAAAAGAGCTCTTAGTAATGCATTTTGGAGGGAACAGAGAGCCTAGATAGAAATGCCATAAAAGCAAGCAGATGGCTTGAAGAGAAAGATCCACAAATACAGGGCACCATGAAAATTAAAATATAAATGTTTTGAGTTCCATTTCACCACATTTTGCTATTTCTTTCTTATCCCTTCTTCCGGCTTTAAATTTTAAACCATTCTCAAGAGCAGAAGGGGAAAGATCACATATTTCAGAATTCCAGTTATTAGATTCCCCATCAAGAGTTTTGAATTTAAATATTCATAATCTTCAAATAGACCTCAATTATGTTATTCTCTCCCAAATTTTTTCAAAGTAAGACTTTTCTTTCCTTTTCATTTTAGTGCCTCTTTGCTCCTAATTCTAATCACCTTTCCAATTTCTCAAGCATCTGACAACAAATCACATACTCTAGAAACAGACACAATATTGATCATCTATAGAGGCAATCATTCAGTTACTTTAAAATCTGAAGGCAAACCACAGAACAGTTTATCTCCAGCTAAACTTTAGATTCTTTAAAAGTACCCCCCCCCCACACACACACACCAAAAGCACAGCACCCACACACATTTCCACCTTAGGAAAGGCCAAAAACTGTTCAGAAATTCAGGAAGTTTCCAGTTGAAAGAGGGGTTGAGGGGACCAAAAATGTACTGAGGACTGCTTCCAGCTAAAGACAGGAAAGAAAACTGCACTGTCAACATGTTCAAAAAGTCTGATGTGAGAAACACTGCCCTTATGCTACACAGTCAGAGTTCAACCGAAGACTTCAGAATTCAAAGCACCCTGAATTTTAGGGGAGCAAGATGGAGATACCCCATTTTGATGGAAAAGATGGAATACAGGGAAAAAAGAACTCAGATGAGAACACACACACACACCCATTCATCCCTGGAGTTCTAGACCCTCCAAAGAGCCCCAGCTCACAGCCTGAGCACAAAGCTCTCACCCCAGATGGTCCCTTGTAACAATGGGCTGAAGGAGTGGGGGTGGGGGGGCTGGAAAGGGATAGTACAGCCAAAGGATATTCTTTGAAAATCCAGTTGAAGGGGCAATATAAGATGCGAGGGGCTGGGGATGAGGGTCTGTGAGGGGGGCAACAAAAGCCATGCCTATAACAGAAATTAATACGGCATAAGCAGATTCTAATAGGGGTGGATTGCTCATTATTTCACCCCCAATGAGAAAGGGATTCCCCTAAATCCATTTTCAAATTATTATGTGGATGAGAGAAACAGAAAAAAAAAAAGAAGAAGCCTGGCGGGAAGTTAAAGAAATCACCCCCGCTATGAGTTTGAACTCTGTATATCTACGCTTCCCTACAAAAATGGTCCCTCACTTTGAACTAACTCCACAGGGCTTCCCCCAATTGATTTTTTTCTCTTTAGTTTCTGAAAGTAACATCTTTTGGCCCACCCCAATCCCAAGTTGTTGTTGTTGTTTTTTTTTTTTTTAAAGCTCTAAAACACCCATTACAAGATCTTGGCCAATCTTATTTCCCAGCCCCCAACATCCGGAGTTGGGAAGGCCAGTAATGGGTTTGTTCCACTGGAGACGACGCTATGGATTGGACCCCCTTAATATTCCTCAGTTCCCCCAAATGAGTTCTTTTCCTACCTTTGTTTTTTGGGGACCGAGTGTTCAATCTCTAGGCGTTTTCCTTGTAGCTCTACTTTCCCTGAAGATTTAAAAAAAAAAAAAATGAATGAGGGAACAAGAGTGGGGGATGGGGAGGAAGGGAGGATAAGGAACATTAGCTAAATTCAAGAGTTTGAGGGGCGTCTTAGGAATCTAGGCACTAAGCTGCCTAAGCCTTGGCGGGGGGGTGTTCTACCTTGCTCCAGGCATGGTAGAACCCGTAAATTCGTTTTTCTCAAATTTTCGTTTAATTTCCACTAATCACGTGGGCTAGTTGCAGGGACTGCTCCGAGAGCCAGATTTAGGAAAGGTGTGAGAGCGTTTGTGTGGTGAGCGCGCGGCTTCTGCGGCTCCCAGAAGTAGGAAGGAGCCCGGGGAAAGGATCACCCCGTTTCTCCGAGTGGGGTGGGAGTAGAGCATTAAACTTTATTTTCCTGCTGAGCCACGGAGAAGAGCTCAGGCGACAAGACATCA